TAATCGATTTTCAATTTTATAAATATATAAATGATCTATGTATAAAGGCATCAGATCTTTCAGAAGAGAAATGCATTTATTAGCTGTCGAATACTTTTTATTAAGACCATACTTATCCATATAATTATTAAAATAAGTAATTGCTTGATATACTACATAATTTGCAATTGTTCTAAAAAGAAAATACATGAAATAATTAATAATAATAAAATAGAATACAGTTAAGCCTGCCTAAAACGGAATTCCTCAGTACTGGCCAATTTTTTCGTTTTCACAGGATTCCGTTTTGTACAGGGTTATATTTTTTATTAACGTAAAAAAGTTTTTAAAAAAATGCTTAGAACTGCTTTTTCCGCAAAGTAATTGTTTATGCTTCAAAGACGTGCTGAAAACACAGAAACGTGTATCTAGTTCACAGAGGAAAAACTCAGTTACTCATTTTTATCACAGAAAACTTTTTTACCGATGACAAAATTAAAATAATATCTGCTATTAACCAAAAATTTGTTTTAGAGAATCATGATTGTTCGGTCGAATACCGAGTATTTGATTAACGCAATTTTGATATACGCTGTAGTATCGAGAGATTGATTAAAAAAGCATATGTTTTAATTGAGATTTAGAATTTACATCGAAAATTTCGCTTTATTTATGTTATGTTAAGCAAAAGTCTTCCGCGTTAGGCAAGTTCCTTACTTATAATGGTATTTTACACGGAAAAACGTCCTGTTCAAAGATTTATTTTTCGTTAGCCAGTTTCTGTTTTGTAGATGATTCGATGTAGTTTAACATTTACTATATTAAAATATCTCTTAACATAGGTCAATATTCGTAATAAAGTTTTATTTATCAATACAGACACTATTTATATTCTATGAGGTAAAACTATAGCCTAAACTTAACATTATTAATAACATAACACAATCTATCTCAATAGGAGACCGAATGGCCGAGTCGGTTAAGGTGTCAATCCACCATTCTGGGCAGAGAGCCGCGATCAAGTGAACTCCATAAATTTTTTCATGGATTCATACGGTATGCCTCAGATACATCGGGGCCCAATGTGTCTGAGCCATACGTATGCACCCATCTCTCACCATCCAGTCGCCCTATTGTGAAGCCGGCCATGAAAAACTTTGAACATGAAAAAGTCTTCTTATGCCCGCATTCTCAACCAAGAATCAAGAGTTAGAGTTTGAAGTTAACCAATAAGCGTTCACGTACTAAAAATATATAGAGAGGTTGCGGCCGACGTTTTCATCGCGAAAACGTGTAGTTGGTCGTTCAGCGTCGCCTTCCTGTAAGCCTAGAAGTTTGGCAATGGCATTTCGAACGTCGAGCATGATTCCACTGATGTTCCAAATGCCATTGTCAAACTTCTAGGCTTACAGGAAGGCGGCGCTGAACGTTCGACGTTGACGTTTTCGCGATGAAAACGTCGGCCGCAACCTCTCTAATAATGGTAATTGGGTAACTTCTAACTAAATGTTGATCTTTGGTTGTGAATATGGCCGTTAGTGTCCATAGGGTAGAAATAGTTTGAAAAATGAAACGAATTAATTTACGTACCTTTCATCAATATTTTCATTTTTAATAACATTAAAAAGATTTATAAAGTAATTTATGTTGTATACTGCTATCAAATCATTCTCTGTAACAGTTCTAAGAACATCTTTCATTACAATTTTAATAAATTCAATCCATTCATTCTATACAGAAGTAAATTAAATTAAGTAATACTTGTAAATTTTCTTTATTTATTCTTAATTTGGATAACTTACAAATCCAGTTCGTTCGCTGAATTCTTTAACCGTAATCACTTCTAATAAATCATAAGGATGTCTTTCGTTTTCCTATAAAATAAAAAGAACATTATATTATTTACTGTGTATTGTAAATTGTAATACAAGTTAATAAATCATGTAGCTATCATATAACTCAATCTCTCGATCAAATTTTTGTTCATTCTCCATTCCATAAAGAGAAAAATGGCGAATGGTAGGAAATGAATGGAAATTAAAATTAAAAACTTACAAAATTAACGGCTTTATCGAGCATTTTTAACTTCTTAATTTCAAATATACCCAGTTCTTCACTACATTTCGATGCCAAAGATGATATTGTATTGTTTATTACATCATCGATCGGTACACGTTTAATCTGAAAAAAATGTAAAATAATCTTAGTTCATTTTTGAATAACCCGATGTTTGTATGCTCCATAAATCAATTATCCATTTGTCAATGAGAATCATCAGTTTGCGTGATATCTGGTGGTCACAATTTCGCTCATTATGTAGGTCTGACAAGCAATGAAATAGACTATCATGGCCAATTTTTATATTTATATATATCTTTTAACAAGGAAAAATATCAATAGAAAACGATTTTATGAGAAAAGTTATATTCGTACCATCATAATGTTTCCTGTTTTAGTTTTTCGTTTAAAGTCACTCCGAATTCAAAGAGTCCATGTTTAGATAATCTAGTGGCTAATGAAACACTATGGAATAAAAATCCAGTTTTCTTCCAATTTTTAAGACATGGCATATTTCCAAGATTATTAATTAAATAATTCGTGTAATTTGTCTCATTTCTTTCATCTGAAAAATAAAATTTAATATTATTGTAGCGTTAAACTTAAATATATTTTTAGTATATACTGTACTGTATATGCTACTTATGCTTACCCGATCGAAGGCAGAACTTATAATAACTTGATGCTTTTCGAGAAACTGGTACAATTGGATCAATTATATTATTGTTAAATAAATCTATAAAAAGCATTTATTTTTATAAAAAGCACATATAAAAGGCTTTATTTTAATATTATACATTTTAATTTTTATTAGGCCTAATACTATTTTACAAGTCATAGCATTCTCTTACCTATTAATTTATCATCGACTGTTTTCTGTTGTTCAATAATCTTATTTGAAATTCCTCTTTGGAATTCTCTATTTATAAAATAATTTCCACAAGCATAGGAATAGAAATTCTCGCATGGATTAATAGATTTATTCATCGAAAGCAGCAAATAGCTTGCTGAAATACAAATATTTTCAAAATTAAGATAATTTAGACCATATTGAAAAAAATTTGAATACTTTGAAATACTTGTCAGATAATTCCACTATTGAAAGTAATAATATAAATTTAATAAAATCAAGTATCATTATGTTTCGATTTGAGTTTAGAATTGTCGCAATCTTGGAAAGGATGATTTTTCGTATTTTTCTCACTCTATTTTATCACTTTTCGAGAAAATTTTGATTAAGAAAACTTTATAAATATTAAGACGATCCTTAGTATCCACTGCATCTAGGATAGGATCAGCCATAAGGGCTTCTGTACCTATGTTAAGGGCGGTCTGTATCTATTAAGCTGATAGAAAACTATAAAATGCATCTCCCAGCACATCTAGAATTATTTTATATTTGAAAGGGAATGTTTTAGTATTCATTCAGCTATCGTATTTACAAACATTGTAGCACGTGCTGTCACAACTTGTTAGTTCGACGGACCCCTTCTCGGAATAATGTTTTTAAATGCATAAAATAAAATCACAAAAATAAACCGATTATATAGAAATACATTTATTAAAATAAAAAAAAACATGATATAGTAATATATGTCATGTGCTTCTTTATTAACACAATAATTAACAATTTTACACAATAACACAAAATTAACATAAAAAGTTAATTTTCACCCTCCAAGCCCAAGGACTCATGAAAACTTTTAACGGACTTCCAAGGATTAGAACACACTATCCAAGAAAATACAAAACCCAAGTCGTTAGTTTTGGAGATTTAATAGCCGACTTGGTAATTAAGATTCTCGATTAATATTTGCGCACTTTATTCTGTATTTAAATGTATTTATTGTGTATTAAAATAATAATAGCGAGATGTTTAGAAGATTTTGAAGAGGATATAGCTACACCGATTCCGTTAAAATTCCGTTAAAATTAATATAAGATAATGTTTATAACGTAATTGTAGATCTAGTAACAATAAGTTCCGATACTTTACACCTAATGAATACTGTCATTTACAATGATTTTTTTATTACTTATATCCGAATGATTTTTATAAAATTTTATGCATTTCTAATAATAATCCAAGATATACGAAAAGGGAAGATCCAAGGGAATGCCTTCGTCCTGCAGTGAATTGAGAATGGTTGAAGATGATAATGATCATCGACAAGCTAGAATATACTGCATAGAATAGCCGTGACCTTAGATACAGCGCTCTTGATGACAACGACGGGTACTATCGACCGCCATTTTACTTTAAGTCAAAACATCGAAGTCTATACTATGTTGTTGGGCAGGATTGCCACTATAGAATCTATTTTTCTCATCCAAATCTAGTTTGTTTGCCAGAAGATTTGAGATTTAGGCAGTTAGATAAGTGATATAAATTTAGATTGTTTTATCTCGAATTTAGCTACTTTCTAAATTTTATTTAATTATTATAAAGAAGGTAATGTCAGAGTTTAAAGCGGTAAGTGTAGTACTTAATTCTCAATATAACAATATTTTTAAAGTACGAATCAGGTCTTGAAGGGCTTTACTCTCAGTCATATCATTGTTTGTTTATAGTGTATTCAGGCCAGTCTGATTCGTACTATACTCAGTTTATTTGTTGATTTTTTCCGACAGTGTTTTTTTTTCTTTTGAAGAATACAAGTAGTGTTTTTGTGTTTTTATTATAGTTATAGTTTGTTTGAAAAAATTTTGGTTTCAACTTGTGAAAATATTTACAATGAAAGCATATATTTTAACTTTTGTCATGTTATGAATCACATTATTGAAGTTAAAATCCTTCTAAGAGGTAATAAGGAGCTAATAATTGTGGGAAATGGAAGAAGTGTTGCATTTGTCAATCAAAAATAGACAAAGAAAACATGCCAGTAAGGGGAAGAGACTGAAATGTAAAAACTGCACCATTAGGATGTGTACAAATTGTGCGCCATATGCATCATTCTGGATAACAAAAGTGTATTAATTAACACGAACTAACCTTTTGTTCGTTATGTCGTAGATAACCACCTTAGACACTGAAGCCGTGAGTCTGAAGAGAGATTGGAAAATTACCAATCCGAAATGCATTGTTAAATAGACGAAATAAAGTGAACTGTTTTAATCTAGGTTTCTGTTAATTGCGAATAATTAAATACTCCGAAGTCTCACTATTGGAAGAAGAAACTTTTACTTATAACTATTTTATTTTTAGACTGTTGAACACAAGATTGTGTTATTAATTAAACACTTGGCTTTTTTCCATCTTTATTCAGTTGATAAAGATGGAAACTGAATAAAGATGGAAAAAAGCCAAGTGTTTAATAACACAATCTTGTGTTCAATAGTCAATACACGGTCAATAAGTAAAACACGGTTTCAGAAGCAAATCAACTACTTTTTTATTTTTAATTATCATCGAATGATAAAAAGCTTAAATAATTATGTTGAGGGTAGTGATGAGTTTTATAAAAAAAAAAAAAAAAAAAACATTGTAAATGTTAATAACGAATTTCATCTTTATTAAGTCCAACCTCTTTCGAGATATGACACATGATACCTCTCTATCTCCCACCCCTTTAATCTTTAACCACCAAAATTTAATAGCATCAATGCTCCTTATACACAAGCTCTCATGTCAAGTTTCTTATAGACGCCAACACACACATACACGAAATATTTTTTCATTTTTTTTTTACTTTTTTGGGTTAAGGAGGTCTCAAAACGTGGATATTTGCAAAAAACTCTAAGGGTCAAGTTTGACACGGTTCCAAGGCTTTCCCTTGTTATGTATACATAACAGCAGGGAAAGTAAAATTAAGAATGGTTAGAAATGCATTTAACTTATCGCTACAGAATATTTTGTCTTGTTTAGAAATATTTAAATAAAGGGTTAAAGAAAGAAATGTCTTGTTATTTACTTTCAAAAAAAAACTAATTAGGGTCGTTTCCACCGCACCATCTCAGTTAACAGTTAAACCTTTCCTTTCCTTTCCTTTCCTTTGCACACTTTTACACAACGAGTTAGAATGTTCTAGCTCGTTGACTTTACACAACACAAATGGCACACCCTTTTGACTAAAAGGAAAATGGTGAACATGTATTCAATTTCCTTTAAACATGGAGCTGCTACAGCCACTAGTATATTCTAGCTCGTTGATGATGATCATCATCATTATGCTCTACAAATTATAAAATAATATAGTTTTATTCTATTATCAAACAATATTATAACATATACGAAAAGTTTTTTATTTACTAATTTCAATTTTGGTTCAATCTAAAAAGCAGACTGAAAAATATTTTAATTGCAAATAACCTGTCATAATGTTATGCAAATTTAAATTTCCTATTTAATGTTACTATGGATATACATTGTAATAAACTCAGAATTTTACCCATCTTTTTCTAATTTCAGTATTCATTTTTTCAACTTTTTACTTTTCCGGCTTCTATTATACCAGACATGGGCAAATGCGGCTCTTGCTGAAAGTGTTAATTTCTGCTTTTTATTATTATTTTTACAATTTTATTTCCACGATTTTGTGAAAATATGTTTATTAGAAACATTCAATATTTGTTTTATATCATATTTATATTATATAATAAAATCGCCGTACAGAACTGCGGTACAGAATAAAAAAGTACAGAACTGCGGGTCCCATGCATTTTGCAAAACCTCCACTGAACTCTTGCTTGCCCACCCCTGTATTATACTCTATATAACAGAGGAATAGCATGACGATCGGTCAAAAAAGTGATCTCCAAGTTTTTATATTTTTGGTCAGGTGATCTTGATACGTTGAGAAATGAAAAACAACCCCTATATGTATGAATAATTCTGTGTTTGTGTGGGGGCACGATTTTGTTCACCCACTTTAAACCTTATTAATTAATAACTCACTTGCATTTTGTCGAAAATTCCTGAATTTTGTAAGGAGGTTTATGTATAAGTAGACTTACCAGACGTCTCGCTTTGACTGGGACTGTCCCGGTTTCATGATCCTGGCCAGTTTGTCATTTTGTCCTGGTTATTTGATAAAATTTTAAAAGTGCCGAATATATAAGAAGTAAAAATAGCGTAGCCTCGGGTAAAATGGCGATTTGGCAACTAAAATATCCCCTTCGTCACACTCATGTTGCCAATCTAAATATTTTGTATCTCGATCTAAGTACTTTTAATGTTGTCTAGATGTTTTCCCCAAAAATTTTTAGCATGTGGCTTAATGAATTTAGATGTTTTATTTTTTCATCCAGATATTTTTTTCACAGAATTTATAATAGCACGTAGCCTATAAGATCCAGATATCTTTATTTCATTTCTTAGATATTTTGTTTCAATTAAAGTTGACAACACAAACTTACACTGGCCACACCATTGTTGCGCATGTCCTATCGTAGTCGAGTTCGAATTGCTAGTCGGCATTTGCGATTATTTTGTACTGTGCATTAAATTAATTTATTCTCCAAATGCCAGAAAAAAATTGTGTTTACTGATGAATAAAAAGAAGAATTATCAATTTAAAAAAAAAATTGTGATTGTATTGACAAGGTGAAATATGAACTGTGCTTTTCATAAATTTCAGTTAACATGGGCGTTTGAACATTAAAAATTACTTGAAATGTGCGAAACATATAGCAAGCCTAGTAGCAGCAGAAGGAACTTCCTCAAATATATTGTCATATTTTAAAGGTACCGATTTGACAGCCAGATGCCCGAGCGGTCAAGGTTGCATCTCCGGGGATTTTTAAGGGCTGGTCCGTCCGGATTTGTTTGGTCACATCCCTCACCACTCGGCCGCCCCATTGTGGGCCTGGCCGAACCCATAAGGGACTTGCCGAAAAAGGCCCTTTTGGTGCCCACAGGGCGGTAAGAGTTTAAGAAAAAAGGTACCTATTTATACTCTATTGTATTTTCTCAAAATTGTCCTGGTTTGAGAAAAATATATCATGCCAAGATTCCAGCTTTTTGTCGCTCGAAAAACGCCCCCTTCTGGGCGATGAATAGATCTAGGGGGCGCTGGAGGCAGGGTATTGAACGGTGACCAAAGGCAAAATTGGGGCTGATAAGAGGAAACATTGTGTTTAATGGTTTCCAGATGATGAGAACAATGTACAGTAAGGGCACAAAGTGTGAGATTCATAGAAAAGTTTTCCTAAGAATATTTCCAATCTTTTTCTCACACAAGAGAAAATGGGTTGGGGGCGTTGGGTATAACTTTATGGAACAAAGGGGGCGGTGGATCGAAAAAGTTTGAGAATCACTGGCCTAGTGTGTCACGGCCTTTATTAGCTTTTGAAATTTTTTACCAAATTTATCTCTACTCTCAGAGTTAAGTATTTTGTCATTTTATAATAATTAATTATATATAAAGTTTTTAAAATAAAATATCATAACAGATGGTGCTATACGCAGTTTTAAATGTTGTTGTCGGAAAAGTTAAGCAACTCGTTGCTAGATTTTTTTATTATGTTTTGCTTTATATACAACCCAATAGGAAAAGAATAATTCTATAAACTTCGTTGTATTTTCCAAGAGAAAATATATTAGTTTTAGTTTAATTACCATTTAACGGACAATATTTTTATCTTTATTGATATGTTTTTCACTATTGTTCTAACTTGGACAATAGAAATAGACAAATGTTGAATCTGTTTTAATTGCCTCCTAGTGTCCATAAAACGGTTTTTTTTAATAATAAATTTATTATTTTATACAGAATCTTAATAAATCATAGTAAATTCTTATTTTATATATTGAAATACAGTAGAGCATCGATTATCCAAACCCCGATTAACAGTCACCTCGGTTACTGGACCGCGTTCTAGTTGGCAAATTCAAATGTCCGCTAGTGATGTGGCGCTACAATATTTGGCTATGTCTTGGCTGCTTTAATAGTATTTTTATGTGTTTTAGCTGGCAACACTGGCTCGACCATTAAAGGGAGCCAGTATAATAAACGAGCAATGTTGCCACGTCTACCGAATTTTCGGTAGATCTACCGATTTTGGGACCGATCTACCGATCTACCGATTGAAGCACCAAATCTACCGAAAAGTTTACGATAATTCAAGAAAGAAATTTTTATTTTCAATGTATCTAAAAATTCTCAATAAAACATTTCTTTGTACCTTCATTTCTTATATATTGTAAGAGACTTTATTGCAAAGATTCTGTCTCGTTTTGTTGAGAATATCTTGTGTCTGCCCCTTTCTTCAGCTAATGGAATAGAAAGAATATTTTCGTAAATAAATCTGTTAAACACGAAACACGGAAATAAACTGACTTGTGAGCTCTGAAACAATCACTGGCTTACTTCTTACTAAACAATTAATTGGATAAAAAT